TTCTGCAATGGTGTTGTAAGGCGTCACAGACATGATATCGGTTGTCATAAACTGTCACATTACACAAGAAGAAGTGATTGAATTGAATTTTCAATTCAATTCAATTCAGCTTTATTTGTATAGCTCTTTTACAATTTAGATTGCGTCAAAGCAGCTTCACATAAATGGTCATAGTAACTGGAACAGTGTAGTTCAGTTTTTAGTGTTTAAGTTCAGTTCAGTTCAGTTTAGCTCAGTTCAGTGTGATTTAAAATCATTACTGAGAGTTCAAACACTGAAGAGCAAATTCATCGATGCGTAGCTCTACCAATCCTGAACCATGCGAGCCAGTAGCGACAGCGGAGAGGGAAAAAAACTTTACCTGATATGAGTGAAGAAAAAAAACCTTGAGAGAACCAGACTCAGTTGGGCAAGTTGAATCGTGAATTGTGAATCATGAATCGCGTCATCCCCATGACACCCTACGTCAAGGAAACCATGCCAAAATCCTGACAAAATTGTGTTATCTGACCAGGGCTTAAGTTAAAAAAAATTGTTTTTTTTTGCATTTAATCTTTTCAAAACCCCAGAGTTCTGTACAATAACAGCAAATACACACAACATGTTTTCTGTTTTTGGTTAAAAAGATGTCGTGACAATTTATGATTATTTTCAGGGGGTGTCCCCGAAACTTATCATGAATTGCTTACAAGTGTTTTTTTCTGTGCAAAAATAACAGCAAAGTGGATTTTATTTGTTAAGGATGGCACCAGATTAAATGTAAAAAATTATAAAAAAATTAAAATATTGAACTATAAGTTCCACATACCAGTATTGCAATTGTGTTTAGAGACACTACAGGCGGATGATATTAAAGTGTTTTCCTGTAATGAGATGCATATCTTTCATTGATGCTGTAGATTAATGGTTCTCGCCCTACAGGTCATGACCTAATAATGGCTTGCAATTTTGTCCCGCAATAATAAAACGCAATTAGCCATGCATACTTAGAATGGCAAATGAAAGTGACACTTTAAATTCAACATAACAGCAATGACTCGAAGCCGAAACCACAGAGTATCCTCCTCAGATTTAGTTTAAGACTGAATAGAGTCAAAAATTTGGTTATTTTTAGCCTATTTTTTTTCGTTGTGCTACTTGATAACACAAACTGCTATTTCTTGTCATATTATTTTAAAGTGCCACTATTACGCCTTTCATGCGGTGTGTAATGTAGCTGTTTGTGAGCATCTTCAAATGCCCTCAAACACTTTAGATGGTATGTGTTGTCAAGTCATACAGGGGAAAAAAAAAAATTACGTCCTAGTACAATTTATGCACTTTCACAGAGTCTCACATTATAATCGCTGAAGTGCAAAATGAATCTCTTAGATTGTATCTCCACTTTGCTGTTTATGAGGAGAGAATTTGCTAGAGCGCCCATTTGAGCCACTAAGTGTGAGGTCAATAAAGCTGAAATTTGTCTAGCAGTGACAAAACTAAATATTTATGAATGGCCATTGCATTCATAAGCGCACAAACGTGTATGATTGGACGTTATTCTCACTGCTGCATCAAGTAAGCAACATCTAAAAAAAATCAAATGCAGACTGTAAAGATTCATTAATTCATTTTCCTTCGACTTAGTCCCTTTATTTATCAGGGGTCACCACAGTGGAATGAACCGCCAAGATGCCCTTCCAGCTGTAACCCAGTTCTGGAAAACCCCCATACACACTCATTCACACATACACTACGGCCAATTTAGTTTCTTCAATTCACCTAAAGCGCATGTTGTTGGACTTGTGGAGGAAACCGGAGCACCCGGAGGAAACCCATGCCAACACAAGGAGAACATGCAAACTTGACACAGAAATGCCATCTGACCCAGTCCGGGGCTTGAACCAATGACCTTTTTGCTGTGAGGCGACAGTGCTAAATAATGAGTCAGCTTGTCGCTAACTGTAAAGATATAACTTTTCTGATTAATTGTGATCTGTTATCTTGAATTATCTTGAATTTGTAAAGTTTTTTTTTTTTTCCCATAATCTCGTCAAATGGATAGTTCACTCGAAAATAAACATTTATTAAGTATTTGCTGTCGCACAAGTGGTCCCTAACCTTTAAAACTTTACTCACATATTGCTTGTTTCCAACCTGTTTAAGATTATTACTTCTGCCAAACACAAAGATATTTTGAAGAAAGCTAAAAACCTGTAACCATCGAGTTTCATAGTACGAAAAAAAAAACAACAAAAAACAATGCCTACAGGTTTTTAGCTTTCTTCAAAATGTCTTTTTTTGTGTTTAACAGAGGAAAGAAGCTCAAACAGGTTTGGAACAAGAAAAATGTGAATAAATGATGACAGCATTTGAATTTTGGGTCATCGATGCCTGAAGACCAGAAATCCCATGATCCCAGCAAACAATTTTGTTTAGTAGACGTCTAAAAGACATCTAAACACAGACAGCTTGGCTAAAACAAGGCTAAAGTCGGGCTGTCTGTGAAAATCTAATAAACATCTAAGAATCAACCAAATAGACTGATTAGACAGACTTTATATGTGTAGTCATTCATTTCTGTTTATTTTATGACTAGTTTCATGATTGGTATTTAAAGACATTGGTCAGGTAATTCTCAGTCTCTCCTGGCTGACCAATGGGCATGAGAGGGAAAGTCGAGCAGGAAATTTTCTTTGTTCTCCTTGTGGGTTTGTACAGTCCCAAGATAGACTGACAAAACTTTAACTCATGGTTTAAAACTACACTGAGCATACAAGTTATCGTCCTATGTCCTAGATCATGGGTTGTAGAGATTGTGTATGAAGAAGAATGACACAAAACATGACTATTTTAGAAATACATAAAACATAATTCATGTGTTTGTCTAATGTCTTGAATAGGGCATATACAGGTGTACATATTTAAAGAGAAAGTCAGGTAGAAAATGCAAAAGTTTACAAACATAACATTTACTCTGGGCTGAATTTTGAGAGTTTTAGGGGATGGAGGGTGAAGGTGTAGGGGTTCTTGGGAATGTCCTTGAAGATGGGATAACTCGAGCTCTGGCCAACATCTTGGTAGATAAGATGTCACAGAGTGACTTTCACCGGCAAACTTGCTGGCACCAGGAGTCATGAACTCACGTAAAACAAACCAAGAGCCTTCTAGGGGTCATAACGGAATTTCTCCTTCAGACTGTATGTTACACTGGGTATGATTAAAATGGCTAATGAAAAATTCCATTACTTTAGAGAGAAGTGCCGTTTTTATTAGCCATTTTAATCATACCCAGGAAGCATTTTTTGCTTTTAAAAGAAGTCTAATAGATGTCTTATAAACGTTTAAACATTGTCATCTTGGCTAAAACAAGGCTAACTTTGGGCTGTCATAAAAAATCTAATAGACGTTTAAGAATAGACCAAAACTTGTCATCAAATAAACAGAATTAGATGACTACACATATCTGTCTGTCTTATCTGTCTATTTGATGACTAGTCTAGTTTTGACCTATTTTTAGACATCTATTAGATGTTAACTGACAGCCCAAGTCTAGCCTTGTTTTAGCCAAGGCGACTATGTTTAGACGTCCATTAGACATCTATTAGAAACAAAAAATGCTCGCTGGGATTCCACAGTAAGGGCTCTATTTTGACGATCCATGCACAAAGTGCAAAGTGCATGGCGCAAAAGCATTAAGGGCGTGTCAGAATCATCTGAATACTAATCGTGTCAGAAAATCCGCTTTGTGTTGTGGTGCATGGTTTAACAGGGTTGAGCTTATTCTCTTAAATAGTTATAGGTGTGTTTTGAGAATAAACCTATCAGAGTCTCATCTCCCATTCCCTTTAAGAGTCAGTTGCTTCGCGCAATAGCGCATTTGCTATTTACATTGTGGACTTTGTATGTGGAAAAAAAATGAACACTTTACCAGTGAGAAAAAAAGTTAAACAGCATCTACAGGGTGAGAAAGAGGAAATGAGCCTCCTCATTATTTACTTTCACTTTCGCTCTCGTGGATAGGGAAACGTGTTGTATGCACAGACATCCATTAGCCTATACCTAATTAAATTAGTTTGTTAAGCACAAATATTTGTTTCTAAACTATTTCTAAATTCAGTTCTAATTTCCAGCAAACGAATAAATAAACAATAATAACAAAGTCTTCTTATATCAAAAAATAAGTTATATTCAAATACACATGCAATGCCCCATATGGTCTAAAACCTGACAGGTGGACAAATCTAAGCTTGTTTTTAATAAAACATAAATATATCAGCTAATAATGATAACATTATACAAAACCGAATTGTTATGAATAAACTGAAGATAAAAAATTACATGAAGAAGGCATGAAGGCAGTGGTTTTTATATTTATGTAGAAAATAATATTTTTTGTAATATTTTAATCATTTAATTCTTTTTCATATGTAAAGATATTTGCCTATTGCTGTACATCCTGTGTGTATTAAGCAATGTTTAAGCGTGGCTCACAAATAACACGATCTGCGCTGGACTATAGACCTGCTTTGAGCTGGTCTATTAAACAGTGTGTTTTAGTTTCTCAAAATAGCAAGGCGCTAGCAGCTCTTTAACACACCTTCTTTTTTAGACCAAAACGCCTATGGGTGCACATATGAGTGCAAATGCATTTGCTATTTAAACAGCGTGGTGCAAAACGTCAAAACGACTCTTCAACCAAGCTGACACTAGCCAACAATTGTGTCGCGCCTTATGCCGTATTGCGCCGGGTGTATGATAGGGCATAATTTCATCGAACTACACGTTTGTTTGTTGCAAATCCTCCCCCTTTAGTGGCGAAAATCACATATTTTGCATTCAGTCCACTTTCTTCTAGCAATTTAACGAAGTTATATCTAATAAATGAGAAGTATTGTATATCCATGTACATTAGCTTACTCTCACATTGAAAAGCAATGAGCTTAAGATGGTGGCAATTCATCATATTCAAGCATTTGTTTAATTAGTCATGCTCTCTTTCACTTTGTTTGTTCTTTCAGCTCAGCCGTACGATGCGGAATTTTACTACGACACTCCAAATCCCATTCGCACCTTGAAGAACAATTATTCCTACATCTTACAGTGGACCCAGAAAGAGCCCGGCGCTGTGGACAAAATCATCGGCTACTGGATCAATGTCCGACAGGTACACACACACACCAACGCTGGAAGCTTAATATTTACTGCTTCTTTCCATCCTCCTTCCGTTTGTCCATTCTTTCTTTCTCCGTGGTTGACTCGGTGGGAGGTGGATGAGTAGAATAAGTGTGTTTGTAATAGGAGTCAGGGGAATAGTGTGCTCTATGTAGGGAGCAGACAGCGGATCGATCGCTGCTTGTACTGCATTAAAGAGACTCTCAGAACCCCACCGGCCCAACACAAGAACACAGAAGCAGCCTGATTGGGTCTGTATTTCATCCCTTCTGGGGGACAAAAAAGCCCATACACCCTAAGGTGGTTAAACCTTCACATTGGTCAACCACAGTGTGATAAACAACCAGCTTGGATTAAAATGCAATGTTGCTAAAGGCCATTCTGAGTGCACGATTTTTCATTGTCATTGATGAAGTAAAATCGACCTTTAGTTTTGACCTCTTTGGACAAAATATGGGTGTTGGCATGAATAAATGGCGATTTAAGGTTGCGTATTTATAGCACACACAATCCTATTGTGTTTAGTTTTGAGTGCTCCTCCATAGAGATGAATCTTGTCCTCATTGTGTCCGTCGGACTGGATTTTGCCAGATGGGATTGGATGTTCATGTAGAGCGCGCTTTATTTTGCACACATGCAGCAATATTTCACATGGAGTCTGCCTTTTGACCTTTGTTCTTTGTTCCTGAGTCAGCAGCATGAATATGAATATCTGTGTTACAGCTGAGCATTGTCCAGAAGTTAGTGTCTGAATGAATTATTTAAAACATGTCAATTTGTTCTAGTTTACACTGTAAGGCTTACAGACTGACACCTTGTAGATTTTGAACACATGACTCATACAAGTGACACCTTGAACACATAACTCAAACAAGTGACACAAGTGTTGTCTGAGATCAAAAATAACAAAATTAAAGTAACCTAATACTTAAATTTTTTTCTTTTAAAAATCCATTATCCATTACTTCCAACCAATTTTACAATTTTCCCAACCAATTTATTTCACATGGATTTTGCCTTTTGACCTTTGCTCCTGAGTCAGCAGCGTGAGGATGCATGAATATCTGTGTTACAGCAGAGCACTATCCACTAATTGGTGTCTGGATGAACTATTTAAAATATGTCAATTTATTTAAGTTTACACTTTAAAGCTCACAGACTGACACCTTGTATTTTTTCATATGATTCACATAAGTGACACAGGTGTTGTCTGAGATGAAAAATAACAAAATTAAAGTAACTCCAAACTTAAAATAATAATAAAACTAAATTTTTATATATAAAATGCAAACTAAATTAATTTTATTAATAAAAAATGATTCATATTTTTTTCCCTTATCAATTCATTCCAACCAATTTTCCTCCTGATATTTCCTGGAAATCAAAATCAAGCTTTTTAGATGCTACTATCAGTATGCTAGTCTTAAAGGAGAACTTTTTTGGCAAAAGCTTATTTTACTATTTATTATACTATATTTACTTATTTTATTTTACAAGTCTCCTAGATCTAAACAGTTGACATTTTTTAATCCATTCAGACGATTTCTTGCTGTAGTGTGGTCACTTTTCACTTAGCTTAGAGTAATGAATTGAAACAGATATAAACATTTGCATTTTGTTCAGAAAATGTAAAAAAAAAATCATTCATTCATTCATTTTCAACTGCTTTTCCGTGGAGATTGTGTTGCCCAAACACACTAAAGTGGCTCAATAATATTTAGATCGGGTGACTGTGCAGTCCAGGCTATGGAAGACATTTAACTTTACTCATGTTCATCAAACCGCTCTATCACCAGTCTTGCTGTGTGTATCTGTGCATTATTATCCTGTTACACGGCACCACCTTCAGGATGCAATGTTTGAACGCTTGGGTCCTCCACAATAATTTGGTACTCCTTGGCAGTGACGAGCTCACCTAGCACAAGTATTGGGCCTAGGGAATGCCTTGATATTGCTGACCAAACGATCACTGATCCACTCCCATGCTTCACTCTGGGCATGCAACAGTCTGGGTGGTACGCTTCTTTGGGGCCTGTCCACACCCCAACTCTCCTGAGTGAGAGAAACACAGTGAAGGTGGACTCATCATAGAACAATACTGTACATGTTTCACATTGTCCACAGATTTTCACAGCTGGCACCAGTGAAACAGACATTTGGCATTGGCATGACTGACCAAAGATTTGGCTTTACAGTAGCAGCTTTGCCATGTATATTGATCCTGTGGAGCTCCACACCAACAGTTTTAATGGAAAAGGAGAGTTGAGGTGCTCATCTAATTTTGCAGTGAGTTGGGCAGCTGTGGTTTTATGTTTTTGGTTACAGTCTGGGTTTGCACCCAGACATACTGTACCTTTCAGACAGCTTCCTCTTGTGTTCACAGTTACTCCTGTTGGATAAGGTTCTTTCTTCTTAGTGGTTTGCTGGATCTTGACACATCACAAATACTTGCTGTCTTGGTCATGGATGCACCAGCGAGACATGCACCAACTATTTGTTCTGTTTTGAACCCTGATACGTTACCCATAAAGTTGTGTAAATTGCTATATTTTAAGCAAACTGTGGTATTACTTTTCTAATTAAACTTTCAGACTCTGCTCTTACTAGTGACATGTGCAATCAATAAAGATTGGCCTCCAGGCTGATCAAATTTAGCCATGAAACCTCCAACACTAAATTAGGCAGTGCAAATATAAGGGATAATCAACAGATTGCCAAGCATTAAAGGATTTTATTAGAGTTCACACTAAGCTGATGGTTAATTATAAGCTACATTGGTATGCTGTCCTGGGAGAGAGCCCTGAGCTCATAAGATCCTCGAGCCCAGGGCTCCCTCCCTTTGCTAGGCGAGAGGGGAGTTTGAGCTCAGGTAGATCTCAAGAACTCCCCTGCTGCAGTAGCTAATGAACAGATAGTGATTGCTCTTAAGAGATAACTACTTACTAGAAGCATGTCTATGGTGCCGACTTGAATTAGTCAAATAACTTAAGTTGCATGTTTTTGGACGATGGGAGGAAACTGGGGAACCCGGGGGAAACCCATGTGAGCACAGGGAGAAAGTGCAAACTCTGCACAGAAACATCGGCTGGTTTGGTAAAGCCTGGAACCAGAGACGTTCTTGCTGTGAGGCAACAGTGCTACACACTGAGCCACCATGTCACCTATCTAGGTGGAAGAGGGAATTCTTCAAAACCAAGATAGCAGTGGTGCGTAACCCAGGGTATTTGTAGTAGCTTAGGAGTCGTCTGATTGGTGCATTGAGAATTGGAAAATGCGGATCCAGCCACTAGCATTCATAAGCATGTGATCCTTTCGAAATTAGTTTATGAATAAACATCACTAAATGGGAGGCAAAGAACCACCCAATTTTTTTTTGTAGTTTTACTACATCGTTGTCATGTAAACCTACTCACACCTGCCCTTCTCCACAATGGATGTCCAGCATTCTCCAGCCTCTTGTGCCTAGACTGCAGTTCTGCACAAGAAGTTTGGCCAGAAGAGAAACGGTCGTGCCCAACTGAGCCTGGTTTCTCTCAAGGTTTTTTTTCATTCACTTCATCAATTGGTGAGGTTTGTTCCCCACCATTGTCACTACTGGCTTTTTTGGTTGAGCTGCGCGTCGATGGATTTGCTCTTTAGTGTTTGGACTTTCAGCAGTCAAATTTAACCCACACTGATCTAAACTAAACTGAACTTCAACTCTGAAAACTGGACTGACCTACCCGGGCTCATTGTGGAAACGTAGCCCCGTGGACGTTTCTGCAGACCGCAAAATACGTCCCGGGAGGTCCGTATTCGAGCAGTTTTTGTTTTCGTGGATTTACTAGAGGCCGATGTGCGCGCTTTTTCGTGTCTCGGACGCCTCTCGGTAGTGCGCGCCGTTCGCGCCCGCACTGTTCTTGCATGAAAAACCGCCGGAGGCCACTGTGAAGCGACCGTCCGTCCGGCTGACTAGCTGAACGACTGAACGATCAACCGGGCGGTTGACCCGACCGGCCTTCTCTTCCTCTTCTAAAAAAAAAAAGCAAAAGCCCTTGTCTTTGATTTTGACAGCCTTTTCGGATCTCGCCGCGTTCTCGCCCTTATTTTTTGGATGTTGTTTTTTATCTTACCTGATTACCGGAACCGCTCTTCCCTGGACTTAATCTCGTCGTTCCCGCGGCCGGCTCCTCCTCCTCCAGGCCTCCGCTCCGCCGACGTAACGCTGCAAGCTAAGCGGACAAACTGGTTGCAGTGGGAAAGCCCTCCACAAGGAGGCGAGCCATCAGACGGCGAGCACGAAGAGGAGGAGCAGAGCGGCATCACACCCCCCCGTAGCGTTTGCTCGAAAAAAAAAAAAATTAACGCGGCCATACGTACCTCCGGCCACGAAAAATCGCAGCCTCCAGAAACGTCCGTGGGGCTACGTTTCCAGAATGAGCTTGGGTTGGGACTGACACAATTTCAATTTACTAGAACTTCTATCTTCAGCTGCTTTGACACAATCTACACAGTAAAAGCGCTATAGAAATTAAATAGATTAAACAACCCAAATATACATTTTCGAAGCGTTCACTGATATTCTCTCCCCGCCTGTGGATCCCAGTTGAAATCTGATCACCATTAGAAACAAACAAACGCTCTCGAACCATCACGGGACGACCCTCCAGTATTGGTGGTGCCATCGGTGCATCAACACTCCCTTCGCCACAGAATCTCTTCATCAGATTTTTTGATTCCGACGTCCTAATCATCTATTCATAGAAACCTGGCCCAGAGGGGGGGCGGCAGTAGCGGAAGAGCGCCGATGAATTATGGAAAGAGGCAGGAATCAAAGCGAATGGGGAGGGTGAGATTAGCCACTTGTCTTTGTGTGCATGAATAGCTAATCTCCCCCTCTTTAAAACCTTACCTTAAGTAAGAGTCTACAGGGACCAATGAATTAACATCCTGACTGCGGCAAGCGTGCATTAACTTTTATAAGCGTGCGTGTGTGCGAGACAGATTATAGAT